CATGTTACACTTTCTCCTTACCTTGTTGTTTTCCTGACTCGACTACTGTTGCTGTCTTCTCCTTCAACTCTCATTACCTTGTTTAAATGACTCATCTGTTCTTCCCTTCTGTTTCCTCGACCTCTGGTAAAACTCAGCTAAATCAGATTCCACAGTCGTGACTGGCACTTCCTTGTATTGATGAATATTGTGACACACAGCTGAACAATTTGATGACCAATGTATGACCGACACTATGACCAATAGAGGGCCATAACAGCGGCCAAAACATTACCCTTAGCTTCCTGACACATTGTGGATCATCTGTGGAGGTCAGTGTAGGTAATTATTAAAAGTGCACTGCCTGTATTTTCAGTTTCAAGAGAAAATGTCTCTAGCCTCTTTAGCTTCCATCCTCACTGACTAAGGGTGGGTAGTTGTATTGTTTCCTTACTCTGAAGTTAATGTTACACTGTGAGTGATATTTTAATATTTAACTAGGAAGAAGGAAATTATTTCAAGATGAAACAAGGGACCTCATGGACAGATTTGTGCAGCCAAACAACTTATACTTGCCCTTGGAGTGGGTCTGTAAAAACAAGGAAACAGGGGCCCCACAGCGAACAGCATTTCCCTCACATGGAAACCAGCCTGTTTTCAGGAAAGCATCCAACGACCTTGTTTCTGTGGCTGGGAGTCTCACCCTTCAAAGTGTTGCGAAGATTGAAGATTAATCCGTGCTTACTTCTCTCCAGGACTCAGAGGTAGTGGTGCGTACGACCTCACCAGCTTGCTCACTCACTGACGGAAATCCAAAACAAAGAGCTCACTGCTTTCTGTCTCCCAGTGGCCATTAGTCATGTCTAACTGAGGCATCATGTTGCTCTGTCTGGCCGTGATTGGAGACTTCACACGCTGAGGCCCGTGTATGGACAGGAAAGACAATAAAAGCAAAGAAGCAAGGCTTAAAAGCTTTAGAATATTAACTTCAAATCATAATCATATACTTTATATCACTGCTCTCCATTTTCTAAATCAGTCCATTATAGATACATTTAGTTCCCTGTTATGTAACAGTTGGTTTAACAACTAACATGCTTATAATAGGTCATCCATCATAGTAAACATCAGTAGGAATCAGTATTATTTTTGGCAGCGTTAAGTTATGAGCACATAATGCAGATTAGAGCAGGGTATGTTTTAACTAAGAGTCTGATAGTGGCTCTGTCAGGCTGTGCAGTATGCCAGTTTTTTTCCCCCTATGGTGGTGAAGTCATGACCCGCCCCCCTAGTCTGCTGCTGATTGGCTAGTTCTTATTTCCATCATTGGTTTGATTGGTTAGGTTTGAGCATGAGGAATGATGGTGGAGCTAGAGGGAAGGTTAAGTGATCTCCTGCAGGGGCATGAATGTCTGGACCAAATTTCATGACAGTTCATTAAAACCACCATCTTCCAACTTCATGGTTGTGCCAGAGGAAATTAACAAAATCATATTGGTGGTTATTTGTGCCAATCATTCTAGTAGATGTTGCAGTATTTTACCAGATACCTTCTAGGTATGATTCATCCTCTGGGGGATACATATGTCTGAACTACTATATTATTTAGATATTTCAGTCTGGATAAAGGACTGACTGAGAGATATTGACTGCCACTGCCTAGAGTTTTATAGCTACACTGCAAGATGGTTCTCCAACAACTCTCAACTAACATTAGTACATTGGGCTGCTAAGAATCATAACATTAAAATGAGTTGTTGTTGCAAAACCTAAATGGAATAAAAAAAACAAAACATTCATTGGGAAAAGCATATTGTAAATTAAGTTTCTGTTTTTTTGTTTTTTTTTACATGTTGCTGCATGTTGCAGCTTTCTTGAGTCTCAGATGATGATTATGTATCTAAGAAAATGTGAACTAAATATTGACTGTGATTGATTACCTCTCTTAGGATTCAGGTCTCCGCATGTTGATTTTTATGTACTGACACAGACTTAAAGTAATGACTGCCTGGAATCTAGGAAAAAAGCCAGTGAGGCATGATATATTTTTTTTAAATCCTCAGCAGTTAATGGGCTAAAACATGCAAGACCACCTGAATAACCCTTTAGGTCACCACTGACATTTGGACATGCTTTATTATACAACTGGAAAGAACAGCGAATGCAAACCTTTGGTTCCAACATGAGGGGCTCTCTAGAAAATACGCTAACCAGTGCCAAGGCAGTGCTGCCAGTTTTCTGAAGCAATCTAATTATAGAGGCTCTGGCAAACTATCTTTAATGATGCAATGGCTGCTAACTAAAAAAGTTCTGCGTGTCTCCCTGCTCTTGACTCCGTCGCTCTCTTGTCAGTTGTGTTTTGTGGTGCGGGACAGAAACAGCAGCTGCTCATAAGTATTCATTAGTCCTTTTTATGGATTAGCCGGGACAAAATGTGAGAGTGTAGATTGGACTCCACACTGTGCTGCCTCCTCCAGAACACAGCGGGCTCTTCTCTCCTCTCTCTGAGCACTAACCACAGCTGTTCAACACCACTTGACTTTTTCAACAACAATGTTCTCAGATGGCTGTGGCCACTTTTGTTCCTCCTCGCCAAAACATTTATCCGACTTGTTTTATTCTCTTCTTTATAATGTCTTTGTCTCTCTGTGGTGTGTGTATGTGTGTGACAGAAACAGTGATGAGACACTGTGGAGGATAATGTTTGTTGACATTGGTTGTTATGGTGATTGCCCTGGATTTTTTGCCCCAGTCATCAGCTCTGATTTTTGCACGTGCAGCTTAGTCCAGTAAGCCCCATATTTCAGCATTTTATCATCTGGCAGGTTCCCACACATACTCATTTGGACAACGTGGGTGTTTTTCTGTGAAGAAAAGAAAAAGATGTCTCTCTTTCTCTCTCCATATTTTCCCCCCCACTTGGAACACATGCGGCATGTATCGGTTGCATTGTGTCTCCCATTCAGGACAGCTGCATTGGCTGGCTATCCCTGAGATCTCCTCTATGCCCACATACACGCCCCACGCACCCATGCATACACGCACCACGAGGCCATAAGTCACCCTCTCTACACTACCTTCCCCCTCCTCCCAAACACACATGTACCCATGTCATCGCTGTGCTTGTTCCATCGTCTCCGCCCTGTTGTGCCTAAGCTAACTCTACTCTACTACTTCACTCTGTTTCCATACATTCCCCCTTTGACGACTTGCCTCTCCAATTTTCTGTCACTACAGCTGTGTGTCAGCTGTTGGCCTGTGCCAGTCTCTAGTCAGAGATGAAGCCGAAACACAGAGGGTCTACAGGGAAGACAGCTTGGCCCCTCTGTCTCTCCCAGCTGTCACTCCCACTTCAGACTTCCACTTATCATAGTTTTTGTCCTCCCTCTTGTTACACCACTGGAAGTCTTCCTCAAACACGTTCAAAAGTAAAATATGCACAAGGGATTGAGAAATGAAATGGGCTTATTCTTTCTGTATTTTTCAAATATTCGTTTGTAAAATTGTGTTGGTATTGTCAGACAAAAAGCACAAGTCTTTTTAAAGAAGAAAGCACTGAGTACTGTCCTTTTGAAAATATTGTAGATCTACACTCGGTTTATTAGCTACACCTTGCTGAAACTGATAAAGTCTAATACAGCAGCCTTACTGTAAATCCTACCTTCATGTAGGTTATATTGTTCAGTTTCATTGTTCTGTTGAAACCTTTGAGAGGTGTTGATTCAACTGAATGATCATTTTCAAAGCTTTAGTTTGTCAATTTGTCATCTCTCTGTATATCACACAATTCAACAGGACCACACAGTCCATAATGATTATTTAGTTGAATCAACACTGCTCTAAAAAAAAGTGTGTGTGTGTGTGTGTGTGTGTGTGTGTGTGTGTGTGTGTGTGTGTGTGTGTGTGTGTGTGTGTGTGTGTGTGTGTGTGTGTGTGTGTGTGTGTGTGTGTGTGTGTGTGTGTGTGTGTGTGTGTTTAACAGTAAAACCTTCATAAAGGTGTAAGCAAGGCTGTAGTACTAGACTGCAGTAGTGTTAGCAAGATGTATCCAATAAAGTAGCAAGGTGTAGGAGTATAGGTGTTTTGTAAGTTTTATGCTCTCAAGGATCTTTTAAGTGACTCAACGACGCATGCAAAATGTCTATGCTGTGGTGTTATGAGCAAGTCATTTGCTTTGTACTAAGCTAACCATGTTTATGTCCCCATTACCTCAAAATACTACGACATCTGTACATCTGTTCTCTCTCACAAATTGGCTTTCATTTCTTCACTCTTACAGTTTCATATGTCTGTTATTTATTCCAAACAAGCATCTCCAACCGGGTGCTCCAAATACATTTTGTCCTATTAAGGGAAAGTGGCCTTGAAATTAGTAATTTGGAGAAATTATTGGCATTTCAAATACAGAAGGAATAAAATTCTCTGGGAGTAAATGGGACCAGCTAATTATACCATCCTCAATTACCAAGCTGTTTGTACCCTGTTCTAAAGACAGCAAAGTAGTATTGTATCCCTGCATTCTGCTGCCAGAGAGAAAAACAAATTAGCGTGTGAAAGTGGCCTTTGTTGCATGGCTTTGTGCTTGCTCCTCTGAGGCCCATTGCTGAGCTCGGCATGCATAAATGTTGAGAAACAAATGAGTGTGAGACATGCTCTGTGCTTCTGAATAAGAGGATTTGATTGCGAGAGTTGAGTTATCGATGGAGATGGTGAGCCTGTGAACCCAGCTGCCTGAGGCTGTAGCTGTGTGTGTAATATATACTGTATGTGGGTGCGAAAATAAAATCATTTGTGGGTTCATGGTGCTTTGTGCGGATTCAACAAGCCTGAAGTAGAACATGCGCCCCATGTATCAAGGCCGAGTCCTTATTGCAGTGACCCGTGTTTCATTCCTTTGCTGCATGTCATCCACTCTCTCTCCCCTGCCTTTCCTGTCCACCTCTCCAGCTGTTACTGTCTAATAGAGCATACAATGCCCCAAAAAGCTTTAAAAAATAAATACATGTCTTTTTCTGCGACAGGTATGCCTGTGGTCATCAGTGTGTCTCCGGACAGGTAACCAGGTGTGTTGCTGCTGTCATGGCCTCGCCAACCCTGCGGCTGTTTCCTGTCACTGTGCTCACAGTCCTTGTGGCGCTGGTGTCGTCTTCAGTGGACCATGAGTGGCACTTTAACCCAGGTAGGATGTCATAGACACGCATGCAAGAGAACATCTAAATTGGTGATTGGTAAACTGTTTCCCCAATTTTGTGTTTTCTCTCACCCCAAAAAACTGCCACATTTATCAACAGCTTGGCAGTTGCCACATTACAAGGTTGTTTTTCATTCCCACAAACTCAGACATGCTTGTTTCTTCCTCTCTCCCTTTGTCCATGGACACAGCCATCGTCCGTCCTGCTGCTCCGGCATTCTCCTCACATTCTCAGATCAGTAAGGCTCGTTCTCCATCCGCTATCAACAGGCTATCCTATGTCCTCTCCCCTGTCTGCCAGCCAGTCTTGTGTAATAGGAGAATGAGGTAGCTGGGCACCCCCCCCCGGCTCGTCAAGACCGCTAATGCACAGGCAGCTCATGAAAGTGTCAGTCAAAATGTCGGGGAAGGGAGCGCATGAGGGGTTAGTGAATGAGAGCCAACCAGGTGTAACCAGAGGAGACTGTTTGCAGCGTGGTCGACCTTCTGACTGAATAAGACAAAGAAGAAGTATTGATTGTTGTTGTTGAATTATTATGTTGATTATTTTTGTCTATTCATCAACCCAGCAAATTCTTCTATGTGAGAAACTCCATCCATTAAATGTTTAGAATATTTTGCTTGATAAATGACTCAGATTATTAATAGATAATCCTAATTAGAGCTGAAACAATCAGTCATATCAGATTAATCAATAGTAAACATAATCATTTGTAGCATAATTCATTTAAAATTGTTATGGGTTGTTGAACTTCTGATTGATTTATTGACTTATCATGTCAGCATTAAATAATCTAATATTATTTAATCTAATATCTAATAACAGATATTAGATTAAATCTAATATTAGATATTAAATCTAATATCTAATATTGAGATTTGAGATGGAGGAACAAACTGAGGCACAACACACAAACATAGACACACACACTTTGTCTTCAAGCTAGACAGTGTGAGCAAAAAGGTTTAGTGCGTGGGCTAAAGTTTTATGAAAAATAAATAAATAGAAGGCGAAAGCAGAGGACTCAGAGAGAGGTAAAAAAGACTGCAGATGGTGGGGGAGTTGACTGGTGATGATGATGATGATGTAATGAAATGGGCACCTGTCTGTAGGGTGTGGATGATGTGTGTGTGTGTGTGTGTGTGTGTGTGTGTGTGTGTGTGTGTGTGTGTGTGTGTGTGTGTGTGTGTGTGTGTGTGTGTGTGCGTGTGTGTGCCTGTGTGTGTGTGCGTGTGTGTGTGTGTGTGTGTGTGTGTGTGTGTGTGTGTGTGTGCGTGTGTGTGCCTGTCTGTGTGTGTGTGTGTGCCTGTGTGTGTGTCTGTCTGTGTGTCTGCAGGACACGTTGGGGTTTTTAGGGTTTGTCATCCAGCCCAACATTCCTGTCCGCTGACTCAGTGACAGAAACTGAGTTAGACACCCACCCCCGCCTCTTTCTGTCACCCTCCATATCACTGTCAGTACCCCTTTCCACTTTATCACTACCCACACCCTCACCCTCTCACTCCCCCCCTGCACCACCATCTCCTCCTCATGACTGACTTCAGAGTGGATAGCTGGGTCGTTGGGTAATCCCTGCCTGGGACCATGCTATCTGGATCATTTGATAACGCTGTCGCTGGAGCGGAGTCAGCACAGCTATCTGAGACCTGTCTGTGTTCTTTCATTCGCCCTTCGTTTCTTTCCCTCTTTTGTTCTCTTCCTCCAAATCCCCAAGCAGTGGTAACCGGAACAGGGACTATGCTGGATAGCACAGGAAAGGTGTAGTCTCAGAAGACAGGTCAAGAGGTCTCACAGGGGGCCACTGGTTACAATAAAGATGCAGAATTTTAATGACTGCCACTTTTTACAAGACAAAGGGGACTTGCAGGAACGAGTGATGCAAAACAGACTCTACCCTGAGTGATTCTGTAACAAATAAGAGAACAGGAACATTTTACTGTAGAGTTTGGCATTTTTTCTCCTTCTCCTCTCTGTCTGTGTGGGTTATGAAGCATGAAGTCCGGAAGTTTTCCCAGAGATGACATAACAACATTATGCTCCGTGACCAATGATGGCTGCTGACACTCTAATGGAAATATTAAGTTTCCACTGGACATGTGCTCCATACAGATGAGAATATTGCTCATGTCTCTCTCTTTCCTCACAGCTCAGTGTCGTTACGCCCTGGGGATGGAGGATGGCACCATCCCAGACTCTGACATCACTGCCTCCAGCGCCTGGTCAGACTCCACTGAAGCCAAACATGGAAGGTAGGAAATGTGTGAGTGTGTGTGCAGGGTAGAAACCACAATAACCAAGTGGCTTTTGCTCTAGTCTTTGTGTGGTTACAGTCGAAAAACTGTAATTCTGCTTAAAGAGTAACTTAACAACAGGTTGAAAAACAGTTTTAACTGTTTCTGATCACACCCAGCATCACTAATGGGTGTCTGCTCTGTTGCATCATACAACTTTGCAGAACACAATGAGGAATGGCAGAGTGGAATAAAAGGCCGTAAGTGTGGCTTCATTTGACAAAGGAACTCAAATGACTATGACTCTACTCTGTTTCTGCACTGTGTTCAGACTCCGAGATAATAAAACTGTTGTGTTGTTGCTGAAAGCCAGTGTAAGAATTGGGCTAATAAGCAGAGTTGATAATGGCATTGGTATCAATAAAGTCTTATCAATTCTCATTCCTGCTAATGTGAAGGTGCACTGACACACCCTGGAGTATGTGTCTACATCACAATGAGAAAAGGACAACCACTGATGAATTCAGACTTATCAAATCAGTTTATAATTAAACTGCATTGCTTTATAATGACAATGTAACATTAATGCAGACTTGATATTCATTGGATAGATTATGCAACTTCAAGACTGCTAATTAATGTTCATATATTACAGAAATGAAAAGAGACCAGTAGAAAGTGCATTAAAATTTCTAAAACGTATCATAGTTTGTAAAGTATAGCAATTGATATACAGTAGATTATATAAAGTGTAACAAAATGGTTATTTGGTATTAAATGGTAACATTATCAGTGTTGATTTAGGACAGTCGAGGTGTTACATTGACCATTTCATTTGACTAGTTGCTGGGTAACTTTTAGGAAGAGTGGCCTTCAAAAGAGCTACTATTGTACTTCATTGCAAGTGATCTTCTGCTGGAATCAAATTTAAGTCAAGTAACAGTACGTCTAGTACAGGAACATATGCACATGTCACTGTGGACTGATGTGTTTGTCTGCATGCCTTCTTTCCAGTCTGTTGGCACCAGAGCTCAAGTAATTTGTCAGAGGTCTATTAGATTATGATAGAAGATGATAGTGTGTGTCTTTGTAAAACCCACTCGGTAATTATATTACAGCGAGGTCAGATTCATGAGAGCCAAGCTAGGCCTGCAACATGCTACAGCCATGTGTAAAAGCATTTGAAGGTGTGTGTGTGTGTGTGTGTGTGTGTGTGTGTGTGTGTGTGTGTGTGTGTGTGTGTGTGTGTGTGTGTGTGTGTGTGTGTGTGTGTGTGTGTGTGTTGTGTGTGTGTGCATTTGTCTCTGTTGGGTTGGGTCTCTTGGCTGAGTGTCTAACCATGTGGAAATGATTATTAGCCCTAACTCTTTTTAAGAGACATCGGGGGGAGAGAGAGAGAGAAAAACAGAGAGCAGCGGACATTTAAAAAAAAAAGAAAACAAGTGAAAGGTGGATCACTGCGATGGTGTGCTGAAAGCTGGAGAGAAATTAATTTGAAAACAGTGTTTGAGGAAAGGTTTTGAGTGAATGGAGGGATTGTGGGATGCAGAGTATTTCTTTGTCATGGCTCTTGTTACTCTGAGGCAGGTCTGAGCGAGTGGTGGAGAGATGGAGCGAATAAGGTAATTGAGAACAAGGGAAGAGGAATGAATTGTTGGCTGGTATTTAGGTAGGAAGCGACAGACGCAGAGAGAAATTAGGTACTTGGCAGAACAGTGTGCTGTAATGTTAATCCTGCAAGCTGATGCACGGTGGACTGAACTCTGCACAACCACATTCCTCTTTTTCTCCCTCCTCATCCTCTTCTCCCTCCATCACAGGGCACTTTGTGGAGCACTAATGTGTTGATATCATCTCGCGGTTTCCGGGTGCATGATCTCACCCTCCGAGGAGAGAACGGGATTAATTAAAATACTAGCGCCACTGTCAGTGTCGCCGAGTTGATGTGATTTGTTTTGGTAGTCTGAGCAGCAGCTTTCATTTTGAGAGAAGCCCCAGAGTGGTCAGAGCCTGGTTGTGGCCTGGCGTCTGTTCCAAAGCTCCTCATACAAGAGATGATCTGACGTCACAAGACACTCAGCCAACTTTGTGGTCTTTATGTGGCCAGTGTGTGGTGGTAGTGTGGACTTTTCTTCTCAGGCTGGATTGAGGAAGGTCACACTGAGTGAAAATCTCTCAGTGGTGCATGTGTGTGGTCATAGCAAGCCTGAGGAGCTGTGAGTAAAGATTGGTCCTGACGTTCTACACCCGATCTTGTTGTGAGGTTTGAAGAATGTGGAAGAGCTAGTAATTTTCTACTCTTTCATCTCTTTTCTTCTCTTCGTGTGCTCTCTGTATTTTCCATCTGTCTGCAGTCTTGCCCACGGTATTCCTTTGACCATAGCCAAGTCTGTTTTTTTTTCTCTTTCAGCCAACATTGCTCTATTTATGTGTGAATATTTGGCTGCTGTGGAATCCAATATGCATGGTGTTAGACGAGGGTCGGACTGTTTCTACTGAATTCTCAGTTGTTGTACCTCTGTGTGCTGCCGGCACTGTGGGTTTTTGATGTAGTCTTGTTGTGGATGTGTTTGTATCTCTGCATGTGAATGTTTGGGTATGGGGCTGGGATTTAGTGAACTTTTCAGTTTTTAAAAATAACATATTTAGGCAGGGTTTGTTTTTTTTCTAATTTTCTTATAAAACATTAATACGCCTCTGTTTCTCTCAGGTTGAGTACTGGAGAGGGGGATGGAGCGTGGTGTCCTGCTGGAGCCGTTTACCCCAGTGGATCAGAATACCTACAGGTCGGATAACATTTAATTGCTGTCAACTGTTAAATTATTATTATGAAGCAGACTGGAGAGACTGCATTACAAAAGTAATGCATTTATTCAATCATGCTTTAATAACAGCTTTAATCCACCCACGTCCATTCTGCTTTAGAGTGATTTTAGAGCAGCTATGATGTATGCCACTATTGTACATAGAGTTTATTTTGGGTAATACATGTATTTGCTTTCTTGCTCAATTAGATAAGAGGATTGATACCGATGTCATATCTGTCCATATGAAGCTAGAGCCAGAAGGCAGTTAGAAGAAACAGGCAAAATCCACCCATCAGCATCTCTAAAGCTTAGTAATTAAAACTGTGTATCTTGTTTAAGTCAACAGCAAGTGGGGAAAAATTTCATTTTGTGGTTCTATATGTTTTCTACCTTTTAAACAGAGCTAGGATGGCTGTTTCTCCGTTTCTAGTCTTTGTGCTAAGCTAAGCTAATGGCTGTTGGCTGTAGATTTACATTTAATGGACCGGTATCAGAGTTGTATGGATCTTCTCATCTAACTCTCTGCAAGAACAGGAATAAGCCTAATTACCAAAATGCAAACCTAAACCTTTTAAATCTACATTTAAAGAGACATTCAGCCGTGTATATATAAGTTAATCAATCTTATTACTTTTTCTCTGTGTCAGTCTGTTATCTGTTAATGTATTTCGTGTCTCCTGCAGGTAGACCTGCACAAACTCCACTTCCTGGCTCTGGTTGGTACCCAGGGTCGTCATGCCGACGGGCACGGCCAGGAGTTTGCCCGCAGTTATCGACTGCGCTATTCCCGCGACGGACAGAAATGGATCACCTGGAAGGACCGCTGGAGCCAGGAAGTAAGCAGGGTCTTTTTGTCTCGTTAATTGCGACAGAGCTGGAGCCCACTGTTTCTTTAATGTGCACATGAATAAAGGAAGGTGAAAGTTTGAATGTCTTTAAATGAGCTTGGGGGCAAACGGACACAAGGGAACATACAGTTGAGGTTGACTCTCCATTATTGATAGGAAACAGCTCAATATCCTGTGGCTGTTTAATATGAATGTCATGTTAATGGGCTGTATTATTCACCTGCATTTGATTTATTTATTATTTATTGGGAAGTGGAGCAGTTTGGCTTTGCTCCAGCTCAACTTTGTGCAATAACTTTTCTGTTCAGGCAAAAGCAGCCTTTATTGCCTCAGATTTCAACACTGTGCAATGAATGGCTTACCTTGTGCAAAAAAAACCCACCTCTTATTGTGTTTGGTAAATGTCCCCTATTTTCTTTGGTTAGAAATTTGCACTGTGTTTTGTTCCACTGCTGCATGATAGCATTTTCCTGGGTCCAGACCTCTGAATCCGCCCACTACACTGTAATGATGTGACAGTTCTGTCTGAATTTGACCTGCAACAACCAAGGTTTTAGGAAAGTAATTGACTGTTTGTTATTTTATTATTTTAGAGCATTGCCAAACAAGTATTCAGCAAATTGCAAGCCAATGTAAATCGAGGGTTGAAGGCTCCACCAACAAGAACTCTGCCTGAGGCTCAGACTCTAAAATCAGTCTTTCCTTACACCTTTGTGTGTTAAAGAAAAAGTTCAGTCGGTTTATTTGAGCTCCTCTTAGATTAATAGAATTTGAAGACACCCACTGAATGATAAGTCAGAGCCTTCAGGCAAAATTCATTCAACCCTACAGATAACAGGGGAGACGAGCGATGTACTGTGTGATTGAATATTTGTACTTCTCTCCCCTAGGTGGTGTCAGGGAATGAGAACACCTATGATGTTGTGCTGAAAGACCTGGGCCCTCCCATTGTGGCCCGCATGGTGCGCTTCTACCCTCTGGCTGACCGGGTTATGAGTGTGTGCCTTCGGGTGGAGCTCTATGGTTGCGTTTGGAACGGTGAGTGTTTGTGTGGAGAGACGGCAGAGATACAAAATGGCCTTGCTTTTTGTGGTAACTTAGGTATTCATTTGGTCTGTATATTCTGAGGCATGCCATCCAGACTGTGATAAATCAGATCACATTTCATATGGGGAAGGTGACAGATTTCTTAGTTTTACTCCTGTATCAGATGGGAAAAGGGGGATTTGTTGGATTGTAATGATTATAAGTGGGTTTTTACCATACATCCCATGCATTAATTTGAGGCATTGCATTAAATTTACAATCTCAGTGGGGTTTGCCCGGATAAAAGAAGCCCCATAGTGATAAATGGTATTGGTCTCCATGTTTCCCGAAGCACAACACTGACTAACTGAGTATTTATGACTGGCTCACCTCCTCCCCTGCCCCATCCACCTCCCTCAGACTGCATCATGCTGCCTGTAAATCAGAGCTGTCAGTGAGCCTAAAAGCTCCAGTTCCTGGTCTGTGTCTTCAGGGAAACCATCTTTCTAAAATATGCTGTAATGTGGATTCTGAAAGCTGTGCAGCTCAGTTCGCCTACAAAGCCAAAGATTATAAAGAATCTTCAGAATGTCAAGCTTTACGCACGTTCGGCCGAGTGGGTCCAAACATTGAGTTCGGCCTTCATGCTCTCACACAAATGTAAAACACAGCATACTGCACACATACTGTGAACCCTATGTGAAGTATTGTTTATTATGGGTGGCAGAGCGGCGGGCTTTAGTCCGTGTTGCTGACGTCACCTCTGTTCTCAGGGAGCGGGCTGATTAGCTGTATATTGGAGCGGAGGCTTGAGTTTCACCGGCGTAATGGTGACTGGGGCCGAGCAGTGGACCGCTTCGTTTGTTTTACTACTTTAAAAACCATCTGTAGCCGTTTCCCCCGTGGCAGTGATTATTGTTGAATGTTGGCTCAGTAAACGTGTAGCTGCTCATGATGAAAATGAAAAGCTCCACAAATTACAAAAGTTTCACTTGCAGCTTGTGCATGTCTGTCTCTTATATAGAAAACTGTGTTTTGTTTCAACAATCACATGACTAATACTGGCTATTTTTTCATGCCTCTCAGATGGGTTGAAGGCTTACACAGCTCCAGTGGGTCATGTCATGCACCTGTCTGGCATGCCTGTCTATCTAAATGACTCCACCTATGATGGGAGCACCGAGCAAGGGTAAGATATACAGCCGCTTTTACCATTTTCATTTTTTATGTATGAGTAAGCATCTCATCTCCACACATTCCCTTACACTGCTCCCTTGGTTTTTGTCTTCACGTGGCCTTGGCTGTAAATTGCAGCCTTGCTTTGGCAAACATGATCACAATAAAGATTTATAAGAGTTACGGTCAAAAATGTGGAGTAAAATGTGGCTCGATCAATGGAATACCAAAAGCTTCTCCACAGCGCTCCTCACATCTGTTAGCACTGAAGTGGGGTCTCAGCCAAATCCTTTTTGAAAGTTTGTCCACCTAATCGAAAGGGAATAACATAATTTTTTTTCGTCGCTCTGGGATTTGAGGCGTGTTTCCTGACCGTAATGTTTTGGCAGGGAGCAAAGGAAGGGTGAACTACGATTCTTGGGGGGTGGGGAGTGGAGGATATAGTTAGGGTTGGGGGGGGGGTCTACACTTGCATAGTCTTTGTGGTTAATGGGGCTGAAATGTTTTGCTAGCGGGTGAGCTAAAACTTTTGATGTAATCCAGATGTGATGGTGTGTATGTGTATGTGTATGTGTATGTGTATGTGTATGTGTCCCACAAGGTTGGGAGTGAGGGGGGCCTATTTGGTGTGACCTTCTTGTGTTACTTTGTTTCTGTTGAGGTGTGCGTTTGTATGTGAAAGATTCACCATGTTTGCATTTGTATCTATGCTTATTTATTCATCCCTGCATGCCAGTACATGAATATATTTGTAAATAGAAAGTGACAGGCAGTGCAAAGCATCCAGCATTATTCCTACACAGAGTTTCATGTTAACCCGTTCACTGCTGTGCGTGTGTGTGTGCGTGCAGGATGCAGTTTGGGGGCCTGGGTCAGCTATGTGACGGTGTCCTGGGAGGAGACGACTTCATACAAACTAAGGAGCTGAGGGTGTGGCCTGGGTATGACTACCTGGGCTGGAGCCGGGAGGCCCTTGGTCATGGCAGCGTGGATATTGAGTTCCACTTTGAGAAACCACGTGTTTTCCACAACATGCAGGTAGGCAGGGAAAGTTGTGTTTGTGTCATGGTGAAGGTTTTGTTTTGTGTAAATGAACGTGAGAGGCTTACGCAGGGCATTGTTATCCCACTGGAATCTCACAGTATGGTGTTGCCTGTAAATCAGAGAGGCCATCAAGGCTAAAAGCTTCAGCTCCTGGTCTGTGTCTTTAGGGAGACCATTTTTATAAGATATGTTCTGATGTGAATCATGAGGCACTGCAACTCAATTCGTCCAAAAAGCCAGAGATTATACAGAATCTACAGAATGTCAGCTTTTATGCGCATCCAGTCTCTCATCTCCTGTATCAGATCTGATGGAAACACGGCATCTCTCTTGTGTTTTTGTGTGTTTTTATGCAAGACCTTGTTATTCCACTGGAATCACTCAGGAACAGTGCACAGGGTGTCCTTGTGGACTAGTGGTTAAGATGCATACTGTACCTTATAAGTGCAACATCCTTGATTCGATTCCAGCCTAGAACTTGTGTTGCATGATATACACCTCTCCCCATTTTGTCTGCCTGTATCTAAACAAGTCGGCTATCCAGTGAAGGCAAGAGTGCCAAAAACTAATATAAAAAACACGATACAAACTTTCTTGATGCATTACTTGTTCTTCCTTTAGAGGAGATGATCTGATTAGATTTCGGAGCACCTTGATGCATGAATCTGCATATTAAAGTAAAAGTGATTTTATTTAAGTTAAAGTTTAGAAGTTTAAAAACGAGGACATCCTGTAAATTATCCCTGTGTCTTATGTGAAGAAAAGCAGACAAAGATCCATTTGTTAATTAATGCATTGGTTAATTAATTATCTCATTAGCACAAAACAACCATGTGATTGTGATTATAAATAACAGGACATTAGGCTGATTGTCTCCTTTTGCATCTGATGAAACTCCTTAGAAATTCGTGTAGCTCCAACCAGCTCGTGTGTGTGTGTGTGTGTGTGTGTGTGTGTGTGTGTGTGTGTGTGTGTGTGTGTGTGTGTGTGTGTGTGTGTGTGTGTGTGTGTGTGTGTGTGTGTGTGTGTGTGTGTGTGTGTGTGTGTGTGTGTGTGTGTGTGTGTGTCAACAATAACTTTGTTAGTCTTCCGTCTCACCAGACAGCAGCAGCATTTTGACTGGAATAGCTCTGCAGCCATTTAATTAGTTTTAATGTGCCATTGTTTATCATGGGACAGCGCGTCTGTGTACGGCTCTCTGGGTGCCACTGAGTTGCATCACAGTCTGTTTGTGCGTCTGAGTGGCTTTTGGGGTTAGTTTGTGGAGCAACGGGGGGGATGGATAATATGAAGCAACACAGTTTGAGTTATAACTGTGTTGTCTTATTGAACGTGGGTTGGAATGTTGGTTTGGGTGGGATTCATCCTATACATGTGCATATTGAACAGCATGAATCCCCAGTCACTGTTACGAAGTGACAAGTAATCTTTCAGAGGTTTGGTTTTGACCAAGATCCAAAATTTCTGGATGTTCTCACTCAGCTTTTTTTCTTCTTCACATATTCATTATTATTCTAGTGTTTCTCAATTACCTTTTAAGATCTTTCCCAGCAGTATTCCGAGTGTTTTTCTTAGGCTTATCCTGTTTTTCCTGCCTTTTCCCTTGTGGTTTCCCTCACTAACCTCAGCTGACATACGGCGTTATGCTAACCTGGCAGAGCGGATATGTCAGACACGCAGGTCAAATAAATAAAGAGTTGGAACCTGAACCTGATTCTGGCTTGACTTGTCTCTGAAATTCCTTAACCTGCACCAAATCACTCTCCCAAAGGGAAATCTGCTCTTTGACCTTCTGTCAGTCATAACCTGAACTTCCTACAGGACCTTTAACAGGCTGGGGACATCCTCTAGTTTTACTTTGTAAAGATCCAGTTCTGTCCTTTGGGAATTAATGTAGACCTTTCTTTGTAAGCTCATGTGGAAGACGGGGCAACTAGACAAAAAGATCAGAGGAAACTCATAATGTTGCTTCGATTTATAATGAAACGAGCAAAACATAATGAATGCAGTGTTATGCCCTCAAATTAAGCTTTGTGCAGGCCATTGGAGCTGTATTCCCTAAAGGAGTAGTGAATTACCTTGGTTCTGTTGACTTATTAGACCCCCACCATTACCACCAACATACAGTACATAACCCCCCCCCAGAATCAGTTACACGTCAACTCAACATCTGGTGCAGCTGTTCCTCCTGTGTCTTGTGTGTGTGTGTGTGTGTGTGCGCATTAACATGTGGATTAGGTTAGAGTGGCTGGCCTTGCAGTAAGTGTGAGCTTAATAGCTAACCTGTCAGAGCAGCCTTTGCACCACCCCTTCTGCCTTGGAGGAAAGAAATCTCCCACCATCTCCTCCTTAATCTTCTATCTCTCAGATCTATAGTTTTGACCTCTCACTCTCTCATTTAAAACCCCCTCCATCTTCCTCCACATCCCTCTCTCTTCACCTCAAGCTCCTCTTCCTCCTTCCAGCCACAACGACGCCTCATATATTAGATCAGCTTTTATGGATTCTTCTCTCTTTGGCCTCTCCCTGCTTGTAAAAACAGGAACGATATATCCTCTGCTCTCCTCCATCGGTCTTCTGTCATACACATTATTTTCTTCCGTCCTTTCTTTCCCCTCCCATGTTCTAATTTTGTTAATTTGTAGTCCTGCTCAGCTCGAAGTTGTGCCAAAGCAATTACGGTTGAACATGATGAGAATGTGCCATTCATTTTGTGTGTTAATTGAATCTCCTCCTGCCTCTCTATGAATAATGAATGATTAAGGCCCCAATTTTTTCTGACTTTTTCAGATGTTTGCACAGGGGTCGAGCTAATTCAGATGTATGGATGGTTAAAGGATTGTCTAACATCTTGCATGTATTCAGCTGTCTTCTGTCTTTCTTCTTTTGTCTGCACTCTCACACTTGTCTCCTCCTGTCTCCTTCCACTAGGTGCACAGTAACAACCGCCACACCCAGGGCGTGCGAGTCTTCAGCAAGGTAGAGTGTCTTTTCAAGCCTGGCATTCTTCAGCCCTGGTCCTCTCCTCTCACTCTGCCCGTGCCCCTTGAGGATCTGAAGGACCCCTCCTCACGACCCATCTCCCTCCCACTGGGTGCCCGGCCGGCTCAGATCCTCTGCTGCAAATTCTACTTCGCTGACCGCTGGCTGCTCATCAGCGAGATATCCTTCCTCTCTGGTAGGAAACATGATTGAAGGGATCAGTTTTTTCACATGTGAGACATGTGTTTCTGTGGCTCTGACAGGCAGTTTTTCTTCTGTAGAGGCTTTGCACTTGCGTCATACATATCCTAGCAACTATGTCTGGCACTATCCTGGAGGTCCAGTAGAGATCTGGCTATGCTCAAACAATTCCTAAATATAGAGAGCAGCAATGGGGGAAGAGATACCTGAAAAAGATTGTTGTACTGTGGGTGGAAAGTCCAATCAGCATTCTTTAAATGCTTAAACTAAAAATCAAGTGAAGTGAAAGTGAAAAGTGAATCATCTGATGTTTCCAGACTTTCTGCAACAGAATCACATTCAAGTTTTTGTCCTTGCTGTGTGCTTATAATTGATTTGAGGTATCAACATTTTTTACAGTCAAGAACCTTGTCCAGTCTCAGGCAGGGATTCAACAGAAAAGTTTGTGGAAAAACATCTGACCCCAATTAATGTTGTATCCGTTATTCTTTATACCTCCCTAATTCATTTTAAACTTTGTCAGAATCATAAAGCGTTTACTGGAAAAATGCAGGTTTCCTCTCCATCTGTTGTCTTCACTATCTTTCTGGTTACAGGCTGAAAGAGACCTTTGCAGCAAATAAAAAAAGGGGGTTACGATATCTGCTGTGAAGATGGGATTTATGCCTATCTGATTGGATGTCAGATAGAGGACTCCTCGGCTGCTCTCCAGCTGAGATTGCTGTGACTAATTAAACTGTCCTTTCTACTCAACAACACTGTCAGTTGTAGCGAGATGAGAGTCAGCAAAGTGCTCAGTAATCGCACCATACTCAGGTAGCTAAAATGACTTGACCCAGCAGTGGTCTGGCCTGTCCTGTTGCTGGACTTGTGCCAAACTGTAACACCAGTACTGACGCTGGCAGAAAGGGCTGCAAACTGGATTCTAAACTTCCAAATCTTGCAGCCTAATGTTCTTTTATGGGACAGAGCTGACTTAAATTTCGTCCTCTGGTACCAGAAAGTGATCAGTCTTTAGCAAACAACTGCATTGACTCAACAGCGACGGTTAGTTGGCCAATTAACTAGAGTTGTTCATGTAAAAAGGTTTCAATACACAGTCATTCAGATTAGTTAGTAAGCAATGGGTCAGTACCCTGTCAAAAACAACATAATTAACATAATCTCCTGAGATGAATATTGTTTGTCTGGAAAACACAACCAGCTGTGACCACAACCACTGTTTCCAAAATCCCAACAGCTGAGGAAAACCAGACGGTGTGTTGTGCCATATGAAAAAAACCCCTAAACATATAAAACATGATTCATTTCCATTGAATTGTCTCCTGCTCTCTTTTGCTCCTTATTCAGAACCATTTGAGGAGGATGTCACGGAGACTGATTCATTTCCTCCTAATCTTCCCAAGAATCCTACCAACAGTTCTTCTCCTCCCTCTGTTAACCACACCTCCTCATCTCCCACATCAAGCCACAGCACCTCCAACACCACCGCTGACCCTTCTGGTGAGTCCCGCTGTCGCCCCTCTATGTCTTTATCCTCTTGCTCTTCACCCCCACATCTTCCTCTCCACCATCCATTCTTTCTCCGTTGTCCCCTTTCACCATGCTGCTTCTCCCACTATCCTTCTCACCGCTCTCTCTAATTTCCCATATCTCTCCCTCATCACCTCTTGTCTCTGCACCAGTCTCTTTCTCTCCAGTTGTGATGAGTGCGAGCATGTCGGCAGTGTGTCTAAGCCATGTGTTTCAAGCAGAGCCAAAGGCAGGCAGTGCCAAAGGAGGCCCATGTCTGACTTGCCTCCGTCTTTATCATGAGAGCTGAAATCCTTTGGCTTTGAGCCACAATTTGCTGAACCCAAGTCAACGCCAGATGCTTATCTTACCAATTTCATTTTACTTAAAGGGCAGGAAAAATTTGGTTAAAGCCTAAAGGTCAAATGTTTCAACTTGATATTTTAAAATTTTTTATCATCTCAGTCTGGCTTTTAAAAAGTTGGTGTGAACTTTCCATTTAGATGGATGAAAAGCAAAATGCTGTCCATGATTTGCTCTCTCCTCATCACCCTCTTCTGAGTCTTCACCACCTCTCTTCTCACACATTCCTCCTTTGTCCATCCCTCGCTCCTCCAGAACCCCCCACCTCCACCACCTCCTTCATGATGGACACCACTGGTAACTGGACGCTGTCAGGTGAGAGAGCAAAAAATAAAAATAAATGAATAGACAGAGAGAGATGAGTCAAGGGACTGGAGCTCGCTCCATCCGCTCTGGCCCTCCTCCAGCATCTTAAAGCTGTCCCACTGCTCAGTAAAGAGTATGAAGTATAATGGAGGAGGGATTGCAGGGGCAGGCTTTGGCACTGGGTTCTGTCCCCTGGGTTTGAAGATATACAGCTGTAGGAAAAACACTAACAGAGATATAGTACATTATATTTACGTACAATAACAACTTGGCTTCCTGCGGTCTCACAAACTGCATGTTTTTTCGGGGAACTGGCTCTGTTCTACACAGTTAAACAATAACAGGCCTTTTAAAAAGCTGGAAATGGTTTTCTGTGGCGTGTATGCTGCTTTGTCCTTGTTACTGGCTGTGGTTGAACGGCTTTGTTTGGGTTTATTTATTACTCACATGGTGTTGAACTGACAGAGAGAGACAGAGAAAGGGGTTGTTTTCTGTTGTGACAATGCGGTGTGTAAATCTTTGGCTAGTAAACGTGTGTGAGTGTGTGCTTGCAGGTGTATATTTGTGTATACACATTAAAGCATTGTATGGTGTGTTTTTTTTTTTTTTTTTTTGTCTTTTCAACTGAGCTATTTTTCCAAACCATCACTTATTCTGTTGATGTGGTTTGTTTATGGGCAAACTTTACACTACACTGAGGATACTTGTATAGTTTCATCCCTCATTCAAATAACACGTCACATTTGACCTTCAAGGGAGAGAAAATAACTGTATGATTCAGATTAATAGTTGACTACAAAGCAAAACAGTGTTCACATTCTGTTCTCAAAGCAGCGGGCCCTGTGGTATGAGTGGGCATGCTGGATGCATACTCAAACAGACAATCCCCATCAGATGTTTAGTAATCCTGATGAAACTATGTTGGTGTGTGTGTGACCCCAGCAAGTGCGTGACTGCGCTGAAAGAGCTAATGCTCTCAGACTGAACAGTGCATTAACTCATGCCTGAGTGTAGCCATACACACACAGAGAAAAAGTGTTGCATAGTAATCTATACGCATTACATCACACCCACATATAACAGCAGTTCTCACACATGCAAACACCTAACATTTCCTTCTGAATTTACCTCTTCTAGATCCAGATTTTGCTGCTAACACTCCAAGGGCGGGGCTTCCTGTAGCGAAGGACGACAGCAGTAATACTGCTATTCTGATTGGCTGCCTGGTGGGCATCATCCTTCTCCTGCTGGCGGTGATAGCTGTCATTCTGTGGAGGCAGTACTGGAAAAAGATACTTGGCAAGGTGAGTCAAGATTGAGGTCACATGCAATGTTTTAGTTACATTTTTAAGCAGCCATCCCAATGTGCAGTTGGCAATTTGGTTGTGACTGGACTTCACGTACAGGTTTCTCATGTCCATGTTAAAAGTCAGCATTAAAAGTCCAGTGTGTAACATTTAGGAGGCTCTCTTGGCAGAAATGGGTAGGTAGGTTATAGATAGGTTTCCATTAGTGTATAATCACCTGAATACAGAAATCTTTATATTTTTGTTATCTTAAAATGAGATGCCGCTGGTCGCCTTCCATGGTGTCCGCAATGTCTGTCATGTTTCTGTAGTACCCTAGGAGGCACAAACCAAACACCGGCTCTAAATAGGGGCATTTGCAATTTACATGGATTTTTTTTTACAGCCACCATAGTATCTTTGGTACGTGTAAGGGGAGGGTGAAGTGAGGGAGTTGTGATCTGCAGTTATACTGCTGGATGCCACTAAACACTGGAAGTGTCAGTTTACTGACGCAGTCTTGGTTTTGTTAGCCAAACTTTTAGAACATCAATCTCTGAGATTTCTGTTACCACCCCAGTACAATGGAGGTAAATAACATTTTGGTCATGTTGCTTAAAGCTTTGAAAAACATCCACTTACTTTTCCACAGATCTTGCTGTTAACTGTTTTCAGGACTCTCTGCACAATAAATAACCCTAAGTGAGAAAATGTTTCTTCTGTGATTAGGCTGAACTGTCCCTTTTAACCAAGTTTTAAATGATTGATAGCAGGCTGAGATAACAACTGCCAGTCTTTTGGCAGCGTACCACTGTATCTCCATCTGGATGTGTTGTGGGAATCCTTTTACATTTACTTCTAATTGTTCAAAGATTAGAGGCTGTTTCCACAGTTGGTTCACCATCTGCTTTAGGGATTCAGATGATACATTTACACTCAGCTGCCAGTTTATTAAGTACAGCAAGGTAAAGTGAGTGAGTGTATATAACCTGCATTAATGGGAATCCTCTGCCCTCTCAGGGCCAGGGCAGTCTGTCCAGTGATGAGCTGCGGGTCCACCTGTCAGTCCCCTCGGACAACGTGGTCATCAACAACACACACAGCTACTCAAGCCGCTATCAGCGCATCCACACCTTCCCCGACGACCGCGACCATGACAGAGAGGGAGAAGGGGAGTACCAAGAGCCCAGTGCCCTGCTGCGGCCACGGGATCAAAGAGACAGCACAGGTTAGTTCTAAACGCATAGATATAGACAGTTATAGATTGTGTTTATAGATGTTTCTGTTGTAGCTGAGTGGTTTAGTCCAAAAAAAACCCTGCACATTTAGCTTACTAGCGTGACATAGAACATGAGTGGTGTGACATACAACATGCTTAGATGCAGTAAAAACATACCACATGCTAAATAGATGGTGACAGAGATTGATCTATAGTCAACCACGCGCAATTGGCATCGAGTCAGTGGAAAATGTGAAGCAATCCAAACTTTCCATATGCACAGAATTTATATACATCACTTACATTTCTGCAAACATGTATGTGGTTTGGACAGATTGCTTAAGTTTGCGTGCCTGTGTTTTTGCAACCTTCGTTTGTTGAGCGTACCAATAAGCTCAGTCTCATTTGCAAAGGGAAAACAGCAGAAGAAAAAAAAAAGTGGTATGCATATCACGAAAACAGTGGTATTACAATGTATTTCACCATACCAAACAAAAGTAAATCAAACCAAACACCCTGCAAGGAAGAGCGCCTCCAAGAAGATGCACAGCGCAGAAGGGGCACAAAAGAGCTATTGTTCTGAGAAAGGGGAAGAAAAAGAAAAGAGGGAGGAGAAAAAGAGAAAGAGAGAGAAAAGGCATTCCTTCACTTGCATTGCACCACAGGAGGTCTGCATGCCGTTTTTTACTATGCGCCTGTGTGAGTTTGAAATAACAGAGTAACAGAAACATTATTTCATCCACTGGTTTTTGTTATGTTTGGTCGTGGCCAGAGTTGTATTAACTTTGCCTGTTCTTGCTTTGCTCGTCTGTTCTGTGCTCCATGTGTCACTGCAACCCCTGCTCCTTCCCTCATATCATAATGGAAATGCTAACTGTGTCATGCTAATGGTTGTTATTATGTTTTTGTGTGTGTGTGTGTGTGTGTGTGTGTGTGTGTGTGTGTGTGTGTGTGTGTGTGTGTGTGTGTGTGTGTGTGTGTGTGTGTGTGTGTGTGTGTGTGTGTGTGTGTGTGTATTTTGTGTCATGTGCCACTTTGTACCATCTGTGTGATCCATATCATGGTTCCTGCGTGTACCCCGCCTCGTCCTGTGCATTTGTGTGCGTGTGTTCATTTGTGTGCCCTCCCAGCCTTGCTGTTAAACAACCCAGCCTATCACCTGCTCCTGTCAGATCACAGAAAAGGCTCGAGACCCCTAGTCGTCCCCGGCACCACTCTGGCTCAGGAAAAGAGCCTCAATGTGCCCCAGGGTAAGAGACCTCAGACTGGGCCAACACAGTCAGGAGGGCCCCACCCTACCTCACTACCCACCTACCAGTCTATCCATGGTTGGGGCATTAGAAGTGCTCTCACAGCAGAGATGGGATTAGTCTATTTTGCATGTGTCTGACCTTCATCATCACTCCTGTTACTCACATAATTAGTCACTCTCATTCACTCACCACTCAACATAACTCATGCTTTGTTTGAAGGGATGGTTTGGAATTTGGGGAATTGTACGAATTTTCAAACTTACCCAGAGACTGACTGACTCATAAAAACCTTTGTTTATCTTGCGGTGTGGCTCTGTTGATGGTAGTGTTTGTTGGCCCATAACTTTTGTCTAGACTGAGGTATCTCAACAACTGTTAGATGGGTTGACACAACATAACATTTTGTAGACATTCATGGTTCACAGAGAACTTTCCTCAAACACCACCATGAGGCTGACCTTTTGTGGTTTTGAGTGAAATGTCTTAACAACTATTGAATGGATTACCATGAAATTGAATACACACATTCATGTCCCCTTCAGGAGAAATTGTAATCACTTTGGTGATCCCCTGACCTTTCCTCTGGCCCCACCATCAGATCGAAAAATTTATGAAAAAAACTAATGACATTCCCAACTTCCTGTTGTCTTTAGTGCTAATAATGCTAATGGGAAAATCAGGCAAGTAGTGTACATGTTAAGGGTTCAGTTCTTTGTTGGATACTTATACTTATAGGTCCGTTATTTATTTTGTATTTTGTATAATATTTGTTGAAATATGGTCAGGCAGTAATATTGAATCTACATTGATCACGACATTGAAATCAAACTTTTCATAAAAGTTTATGTTAAATAAAAGTCAGATTTTTAAATAGGATCACAAATTATCTAAACAGGTGCCTAGGGCTGTTTTGTACCCCTATGTTGCCCTAATTAACTACAAAAAAATCATACTATTTCATGGCATTTTCCTTAATTATACAACATTCAGAGAAAATTATACTGTTGAAGATAGAAGAAGATATATACTTAATTAATCCCCTATTGGGGAAATTCTTCTTTTCACTCTTTTTTTATTCTTACACACACGCACACAGGCTGAAATACACACTTCATGCACTTGTGGACATGCAACAGGGAGAGAGATGGAGTGATGGGCTCGCCACGTTAGCAGCGCCCATGAGCAGTTTCTTGGGACTAGGTTGCCTTGCTCAAGGGCACCTCGGCAGTGCACAGGAGGTGAAACTGGCACCTCCCCAGCTACCAGTCCACACTCCATATTCTGGTCTGTGGGATTTGAACCGGCGACCCTCCGGTTCCCAAGTCCCTACACACTGAGCTACTGTTGCCCCAAAATAACCCATTGACAAACTTGTAAACATTTCCCAAAAGTAGGCTCAATTTAGATTTACATAATGTTTTCTAACAAAATGATTAAGTGTGCTGAGGAATATTTCTTATACTTAAAGTGAAATATAATAGACACAGTAAACTCAAGGGGAAAATCTAACATTGATGGATATGAAAACTTTGCCATCCTAATTATATTTTAGCTCATTTTAGTATATGTATAACTAGCTGTGGGAGTGCGCATTGAAGTGGATTGGAAAGCTTCCTGTCATCTGCATTATGATTTGAACAATGGTTTACCAACTTAGTATTCAAAAGCCACTCTTCCTTCACATTTTGACTTATGTTTGCTATCAGAACCTCATTGGAAGCTGATTGTGTTGAATGTTAGATTGTTAGACCTTTTTGATAAATTGAAAGTTTAAAAGCAGTTTGAATTTGATCAAAAAGAAATAGGCCAATGCAAAGTCCCAGAAAGATTGATTAAAAAAAAGTCCTCTGATCCATCACAAAAAGTTCAGTTATGTGTTTTCCTGATTTTGATACTTGCTACACAATCTTTAAGTTGTTCCCAACCTTTAATTCAAAGCTCCAGCAGACAATGATGAATTGCCTTCTACTAGTTTAGAGCAAGAAAATCTAAACAAATTAAATCTTTGCTAAAATTTCACTTTTACGAATCGACTTTTTCACCATCTTATCAAATTTTGTTCTTTATTGTGTTCGGACCTTATTTTTACTCTTCTCTGTAACTCTTAGGCTTTTTTTGTCAATTGTTTTCTGTTTTAAGGTTCTAGTTTCTCTACAGAACTTTTGAAAAGTTTTGTACAAAAAACTTTTTTTGTTTTGTTGTTATCAAATTGAATTCCCCTAAATCTAAACTATCCCTTCATAACAACTTGTCTCAGTACTTGTGATATCATCTTATTCGTTCACTCTCAGACTGTCTCAAAGCAAAACAGTTAATCACACAGTTCTTCTTTTAAAAGTAATCTCTCCATTTCATCCACCCTGTCTGTCTCTTCCCTTCAGCCTGTGGTTTGGACATGGACATGGAGAAGGGTTTCCCCCCAACTCAGGAGGAGCCTCCTCCCTACCCTGGCTCCCCTCCTTACCCCTCCCTGTCTCCCCCTGTGTCTCCCCCGCTGCCTCCCAGCGTTCCTCATTACGCTGAGGCCGACATTGTGAGCCTGCAGGGTGTCAGCGGTAACAACACCTACGCCGTGCCCGCCTTGGCCTCCTCGAGCCCTGGGGCCGACGCCGCCCCGCTGCCGGAGCTGCCACGCCAGTGTCTCATCTTCAAGGAGAAACTGGGAGAGGGACAGTTTGGAGAGGTGAGGAATGACCTGCAAAAATGTGTTTGTGTTCGGGTGGGTGGAAGGGTGGTTGTGCTTTAACAGTGTCTGTATTTTTTTGGTGAAAGGTGCACCTGTGTGAAATTGAGAGCCCTCAGGACCTTCCCAACTTGGAGTTCCCCTTCAACGTGAGAAAAGGTCGCCCTCTTCTGGTAGCAGTGAAGATACTGCGCCCGGATGCCTCCAAGAATGCCAGGTCTGTAACATTATGCTCAGCCGAGCATGGCTTCAGTGTGGTTCACAGTTTTTCTTTCTGCTTTTACAGCTTCTCTTCTCCTGTTTCAAATTCATGCACTGAACTGCAGCATTCAGGTTCACCGTATATGTATGGAGTCAGGACTTCCTTAAGAAGTTGAATAGTATCAGGGAACTCTTAATAAGAAGTCGTTTTTTTAAGAATGTACCATTCAACACGTTTTTGTTTTAGATACCCGAAGTCTTACTTTTCAGGTAATATTTGACCTTTTGAGGGCAGAAAGTGGACAAAACACCCTCAAAGCACCCAACCTTTACATACTATATAATATGATGAATTCATTATAGCTAGTGTGTTGGCAATCAACTACTACTACATTACTTACTAACCCAGAAGCCAGGAAAATACAGGTCCAATATTTTCTCACATTTTAGCTCAGATTCGGTCCCTCAACTCTTAAGATGTTGAAATATGTGGACCTCTGTGGTTTTCTGGATGTTTGCCTCTCTTCACCAGCTGCTTGTTTACTTGGATTCTCTGCCCTTTTTTCACGGGGCTGTGTGAGTTCATGTGCTTCCAGTGGCTGTCCACAAGTTTATATGGGAGTTATGATGCAAACATATTGACCAGCAAAACAAATCAATAAGGTGAAAAGCTACAGAGCTGCAGACTTTGGTGTTGATTCATAGGGGAATTGTCGACCTTTTAACTTTAACGGTTGTTTCATGTTGAAGCTTTAATATGTATTTTTTTAAGAAAGAACTTAAAATCAGAACATTTCACTCTTTATTTCCCCTTTACTTTATCTCTTCTGAGTCTACCAGTTTTCTCTTCTATACTCTCTGATTCATTTCACTCTTCCATCTCCTCTTTGTAGGAACGACTTCCTGAAAGAGGTGAAGATCCTGTCTCGCCTGAAGGACCCCAATATCATCCGTCTGCTGGGAGTGTGTGTGAGCAGTGATCCCCTCTGTATGGTCACTGAGTACATGGAATGTGGAGACTTGAACCAGTACCTGTCCCACCGAGTGCTTTTGGACAAGACAGGGCCTTCGCACAATACCCCGACCATCAGGTAAACCAGAAATTGTGCACGCACGCTCGCATGACATGAACAGATATAAATGAACACACAGTCATAGTCTATAGTTATTTATTATTTACTATCTTTCAACCTTTTCCACAAGTTACCCGGCCCTCATCTCCATGGCCAGCCAGATCGCGTCAGGAATGAAGTTCCTTTCCTCCCTCAACTTCGTGCACCGGGATCTAGCCACGCGCAACTGTCTGGTCGGGGGTGAGAAGGGTGAGAGCGGAGAGGATCAGGGTGGTGAGCGTCACATCAAGATAGCGGACTTTGGCATGAGTAGGAACCTGTATGCTGGAGACTACTATAGGATCCAGGGCAGAGCTGTGCTGCCAATACGCTGGATGGCCTGGGAGTGTATCCTCATGGTGAGGGGACAGGAATTGTTTTTGTTTGTGCATCGGATGGTGTGCGATAGTTGCAGTACTGTATGTAACACTGTTGATAAGAAGTTAATGATTCTGATTATCAATCTGATACTGGTGGAGATTATGATGTTGAAGGTGACATTGTTTATGTGCGTGGCTGTGTTCCCAGGGCAAATTCACCACGGCCAGCGATGTGTGGGCGTTCGGGGTCACTCTGTGGGAGATGTTGAGCGTTTGTCAGGAGCAGCCTTACTCCAACCTCACAGATGAACAAGTCATCGACAACGCTGGGGAATTCTTCAGAGACCAGGGCAGACAGGTACGAAACACACACACACACACACACACACACACACACACACACACACACACTGGTGTAGGGCTATAAAGTAACTTATTTTCCTCCTTGTCAAAATTTAACGAACCTCAAATTGAGTATGGACATAAAACAGTCACTTTATATGAATGTTCTCCTCTGTATGTAGCTCATCTGTTGAATATCTGAACTGGTCTGTCAGTATCAGTTCTCAGTAAATCAGTCAGATAATAATACATTATTTTGTTTCTACTAATGAAAGACATCCTTCACTTTGGGCTTTTCTTTTACTATGCAATGGATGCTACTGAATACAAAGCAGCAACCAGAGCACAAAGTCATCATTGACTGTGTGGAAGCTCATGATATCAGACCCTCAGGTCTTTAGGCCACACATCTTATTCATCTGTTTGAGTTTTTAGTAGAGTAACACAAATCCCATTGAAATCACCGTTCTTTAAACCAGTTTAAGAGACATGTTCATCTGCAAATCACCAAACTCAAGTAAGCAGCAATACAGAAACCAAAAATATAGTCTCTACTCATATTGATTATGAGCAGAAGACAAACTGTATTAGACAAGAAGCCCCCAGGATCACAACCACCCCACCCAGTTAAATATTTACTGAGGTGCTGGAAGCCTAAATGTGTCCAAACAGATAGCAAAGATTTCTGCACACTTAGATCGATGCACTATATCACTTTATTTAGCAAGCTTTCGGTCTATCTCGATATGCTCTGATCAAGGTCAGATAGACCAAAAGCTTATACTGCATTGATCTAAGTGTTCGTAGACCATAATTACATATGACAGAATAATGATCTGATTTTGACTTAGTAGGCTCCTTGTCCTGTTAGCTTGCAAAGGTATTGGGCTGCACGGATAGTAGGCTGCTAAAAGAATGATTTTATTAAACTGGAAAATTTGTAACCCAAAGTATTTCTCAATAGAGACATGGTTACTGGAATATTTTAATCTTCTTGGATCAGAACAAATAGCTGATATGATCAGCAATACTGGATACAATTCTGAAATTAATTTGAAATTAATAAATAAACCTTATGGGCTTCATCACCAGGTATTAAGAAAAGGGTGTGGTTTCACTGATCAAATGGTGCCACCTCCATACACCTTTCTACCTCTCTCCCTCTCTTTCAGGTGTACCTGAGTAAGCCGGCTGTGTGTCCTCAGGGTCTCTACGAGCTCATGTTGAGTTGCTGGAACAGAGACTGCAAGCTCCGCCCATCCTTCGCCTACATCCACTCCTTTCTTACCGAGGACGCCATGAACATGGTGTAGAGAGAGAATCCAAGAAACACACGAATGAGAAAGGCAACAACGCTAAAGGGGGGGTGGGGGGACATCTTGTACGTTTATGCATCCTTGCTACAGCGGGAAGGTGTGGTGGAGGTGCTGCACAGTGGAGGCGGATGAGAAGGAAGAGTGGGTTGCTCGCTTTTTATATTTGTACTCTTTTGGGTGGATGGGGCTGAGACACCGCTGGTTCGGTTTATTTCCACGTCAGACCCCAACCCCAAAGGCAAAACTAACCCCAGCTTTAGATAAGGTAACAGTCCGAGCTACATTTCACAGTGGTTGGTGGTGGGTGCGGTCGGCATAGGAACTTTCTCTCTTCTCAGATACTTAACGTACGAGGAGGGTTTGTGTGACTGGTGATTAAGTGCTGTAGAGTTAATGACACGGGAAGCTGCAGGGGCTAAATTACAGAAAATACACCAAACTATGATCATAGCACGCTAGGAAATGAAAAAAAAAAAGTTTCCTGACTTTTGTTTCTTCAACATCTCATATACTACATGCAGGGTAATAGGTGAAGGTGCACAAACTTTTCTCAACCGATCATTCATATAAAAGTGCACACACAGGGATTGTCTTAGTATTTATAGTATGTATAGCCTATTGTACACATTTTAATCTAATTTAGTAGGATTACTCCAAGCTTCAGTCCATTTTGCCCATCTGAGACACAAAAAATTATAATCTACTAAAAGTCCATGAGAAGACTTTACCTTTCTGACATTGCTGAAACGTGAGTGATGAGGAGATTTTTATCATGTTTGCTGACCCTTCATCAGTCCGTCTGTCTCAACCCCAAAACCCTCTTACATAGTCCCCTACATCCACAGCTGTACCTCAAAGTTATTGTGGACTAATGTGAAATGATGTGGACCAGAGAACAGCAGCCCCCTTTCTGCAATCTGACTATATAAGTTTGCCCTCAACCACAGACATTGTAGTCAAGAAGCCCAAGCAGTTTTTGAACCCCATCTTTGAGCCACAGAGAGAAGAACTGTATCCCTGGTGCCAAATGGACTTCTCAAACCTGAGGAGACAGGCACAGAAGAGGAGGGGAGAGTCTGTTGCTGCCGATTGGAGCAGCTTTTCCAAGCAGAGAGACAATGCTGCCAGCCGGGGCGGCGGACGGGACATCTTCAGATGCGCCTGCTCAGGTGTTTTTGGCCATTTTTTTTGTATCTGGCTGTGATCCAGACACAAAAGGATAGATGTAAAATTCCACGACCAGCTGCACTTTAAATCCTATATGCGTATCCCTGGCCACGATGAAACTCTTCACTGTGAGGGCCCTGATATGATTCCTGTCGATGTGGATTCGAATGCATTTCACTTGCAATGCTTTCAGATATTTGCCAAGGGAGATCAAAATTTGGGACAGCCTGTCTGCCTTTTTAAACCCTCTCCCACAAGGCATTGCCAAACCATTAGATGTAAAATATTATTTAAAAAATGGAATGGCACCTTCAGTTCATCTCATTTTAAATGTATGACAACCATTTGTTATGAAACTATCAGTGCATTGAGATGTCTTCACTCATCCAAACGCATGACTGTCTTTTAAAAACACAGTTATGATACGTTAAGTGGGAATGCTGAGTTATGATTTTAGTGTGAATGTCAACATCAACCTCTGCATTCTCCCATGTTAGTACATTAAGCTGACTGGTAGAATTAATGCATCTACCGCACTACAACGGTACGGTATAGCACTGTAAATCAGTCCTGGGATGGTCAAGATTATCAACTAATACATGTTTACTGTGCCATTTGAATCATTTTTGATACACTGTAGTTCAGCTAAACCCATATTTTTATATATACTGTATGTACTTAGACACTCCTTGGTGTCTGATTTCGTCCTTTTGTGTCTTTGAAGTTGAGCATAATAGTATGTACATATTTTAAGGACAGAATTGTAATTTCCTTTACTAATATATGGAAAACTCTTTGTTACATTTGGGGTCTTCTGTATCTCTGTAGAACGCTTGCTACCTTGATGCCATTGTAATTCATTGTTGTCTATTTTTGTAGATGTTTTAATAAAGTTAATCTTTTCAAATAAATCAAGATGTGCCCTAGGCCTTTTTTTAAGTTATTTTCATTATTGCTTTATCTACAGGTTGTTTTTTAAATTAATCCATTGTTTGCCCTTCATGATTTCCCAGCGTCCAGTGACGTCATCAAATTTCTTGTTTTGCAGCAAATCTTCACATTTGAGATTGAGGAACTTTAAAATGTTTTGCTTTTTAATTGAATGATTGATATGTTATTAAAATAGTTGCTGATTAATTTTCTGTCAATCTATTAATCTCTAGTCTGTTCCATGTAGTCTTAAATGAAACTTCAGCCACTTCAGATACAGTGAAGTAAGACAGACAGCAACAGTTTTTGGTGATTACACCATATTTTATTGTTTACATAACATTTCACTATAGATAAATCTTGAATATCTGACACTATACAACTTCCACACTATGTAAAAACGGCTTATATAGATAGACATGCAACAGAACATTTTTTTTTAAAGGAGAGTAAAAGATTAGTCAGGAGAACATACAAAAGAAGTAGACACAGATTTGGCTTTTAACTACAGCCGTCGTTAGTGACAGCCAATGGCTTACGATCAGTTGCATATGAGGAAATATCACCTGACAGAGAAGAGTAATAGGCTTAACTAGAAGTCAGCTTGACTTCACTGTTGAAGAGTTTTGACCAGGCACTTGGCGATAACAACATTCGTAAGGCTTGGCAGCTTAGTAAAGAGTCTGAAAGAAGATATAAATCAGCTCCCAATCAGAGGTACTGAACTGTCAATTAAAATCTTCGATAACCATGAGCGCTAAAACCCGGCAAAATCTATAATACTTAGCATCACATTGTCATGGAAAATCAGTACACCAAATAAAAAGACAACAAGCGTCATACTATCTCCCTTATGTCAGTTTAAACTACAGGCAGCAAATACATCAAAGCAACATAGTTAGTTAATGTTGGTTAGTTAATGAGGGTCCTTCTTTACTCTCACCATATACAGAAAACACTGCAGCAAAATCAAATCAACATTGTTTTTTTTTTCCATCACAACATACTTTCATTGCTTTTAATAGGAAACCCCTTCAGCTTGTTCCCATCAACCACTTCCTTTCTTTTCATTCTGAAACACAAAGAAAATCCTCCCACTTGCAGTACAACTGATATGATTTTGGGTCCAGTAATATAGTCAGTTACTATACAGAAACATTTTGGATCAGTAACCCCTTTGTCTCTTTACAAATGACGAGTGCACAAAAAGCAAATAAAAATTAAGCTGTAAATATTACTGAACTACATTGACAGCAGCGATGTGCCCGCACACAAAGTTATGAGGTGATGCTGTAATAAAGAGGCTCAGAAACCATTAATGAATTGAAAGGCACAAAAAACCTTTACATGAAATACAGCTATAAACATTTCCTACATTAAAAAGTTAAAAAGGAATTACAGTTTATTGACCCAGTCCCTATGAAGGGAAAATTAGACTGATTGCAGTAAGATAACAATAAAAACTTGCATACTGAAGGTCAAGTATAAGACAGCAAAGACAGGAATTCCTACTCAGACTATCACTGGCTAAAGTCAGCTGAGGCTTTTGTCTAAGCAAAAAAGGAAAAGAAAGCACAACAGCTTAGACCAGGAACATGAAAAGAAACCACATAAAGAAGGACCCATCCCATTTCGATGGAGGACAAACCAACAAAAGAGACACACAGTGAAACACGTGCATGCACACAGACAGACTACGGTGGCGTGGAGTCGTTACAGTGGTTATAGGCACAAGGAGGAGATGTGGAGCTCTTAGTCTGAATATCGGTGACACCTCTCCTGATTACTTCTATTCTCCCTCTCTTCTTAATACACAAGGGGGGTCTTTCCTGTAACCTGTGAAGTCAATGAGAGAAACACGAGATAATTACAACATGCATGGGTCATCCAGTGTCTTTTACAATCCTTTACACACATATTCCAACGTACCTGGGAGATGTTGATTCCAGTGAGTTTCTCCACAGCGGAAGGCAGCCTGGTCATGATTTCAAGCACCTCTCCAGCGAGCTTGGCTGCTCCCACCTCTGAGCCTCCACTGGATATCATAGTCACCTTGTTGGCTGCTGACAGTGGCTTGCTGATCTCCTCTGCCATCTGCAGGACAAGAAAGAACAGAGGAATTAATAGAGTGAAGGGGAAATTTGAAAAAGGCTAAAAGCAAAAACTTTCCAAGCAAACCTTTGAGGGAGTTGAAATCAATCCAATGCAGGATGTGATTGTATTTATCGAGGTAAAGGAGAGCGAAATATTTACTATAATAACTTTATATTGAAACATTAACTTTTCTTGAACTGAAAATATTATGTCATATTCAGACCCACACAACTTCAATGCAACAAGGAAGAGGAAGAAAAATTGGAACTCTTTAAAACACCCCCCCCAAAAAAAAACTCTATTCAGGAAGCTGCGGTTGTGAATTGATATAAGAAAAGGAAGTAAGAAATACTTTAAATAATAAAATCAGCAAAACAATTATGAATAATTCCCAAATGTAAGTGAACAGAAACAAATTATCTTATGTTAACCTAAGTGTAGGTGAATCAAAATTAGTAAGGACCCCCACAAGCTGATGGTAACAGCAAGAGAAAAGGCTAACAGAAAGATTAGTATACAAAATAGAGACAAAGAGAGAGAAGATGGCACTGAATTAGCTTAACCTGAATTAATCAACTAAAACTAATTGAGAATTAAAACTAACACCAAGAGGTCATCTATCACCAAGTCTGCTGAGTAACACAAAACTCACTTTTGTTAAAGCAAAGCACAATGGTCACCCATGGTTTGCAAGGTTCGATCATCACAGAGTAGTATTTCATCACACAGCTGTAACGTGTATAATTTAATTATTCATCTGTGAGAGTCAGACTGACCAGCGGCAGTTTCTCCAGCAGCATATCCACCATGGCTCCATCTTTGTACTGCTTGAAGGCCTCGGCTTTCTTGGCCATCTGCTCCGCCTCAGCACGACCCTTAGCCTCCAGGGCAAAAGCCTCTGCTTCGCCCTTCATCTGCATGGACAAACACACACAGAAAATGAAGGAAAAAGAGAGTTAAGATTACATTGGAAGTGTACAGGACTTCATGTGCTGACAGTAATGTTTGGTAAATATAACAGACCAGGAAGGAAAAGTGGATATGAGATCTGGAGGGAGTATTACAGGGAACAAAAGAAACATGTGGCAGAACTCACTCTGATGGACTCGGCCTCGGCCTCAGCCTCCATGATGAGCTGCAGGCTGCCAGGATGAAGAGAGATTGCAAACTGTTTAAATGTCTTAAGTGATTTTAAACTCAGCTTTGTCCTTGTCGATGCTGCTCAGGTGTCGGATGCAAATCACGCAATTTCTTTATGTTTATGTGTTTTATAGATGTTCAATTTTTATTACAACTATGCAGGCAACAGTATTGTGCTCTAATACTCACCGGCTCGCCTCAGCCAGCCTCTCCAGTCGGTATTTCTCTGCCTCTGCAGGCTTCTTAATTTTGGCCTCCAGCTCCTTCTCCTTGCGAGTGATCTCCTGCTCCTGCAGTGTAATCTGCTGTGTCCGCTCCACCACCTGAACCTGCATCTTCTCCTCCTCAATGCGCTGCTTGGTCTTGGCCACCTGATGAGGGAAGCAGAGGGAAAAAGGAAAATCCAACACTACTCAACCTTCACTCACTGAAAAGTAATCAGAAATTATCTACAATCGGGATGCATGGACCTAGAAGACCAGACCATGAACAGATAACTGTACCTGAAGCTGATAGGCCATTTCTGACTCAGCCTTCTTGGTGTTGACTTCGACATCATAGGCTGCTTTTTTCAGCTCGTAGTCTCTCTGGGCCTTTGCCATCTCAATCTCATTCTTGTACTGAGCTGAAACCTTCTCCTGCATTGCGTGGGCCTCCTGTATAGAGAATGCAGCACGACAGAAACCGAGACATTTTGGTATTTCTTTTCAAACGATGGATTATTCTAATTTTCAGATTATCCATATTAGTAGATTGGCAGGAGAGCTTATTTTACCCTCATAACAGCATCTCGTTTGTACTGAGCCTCTCCGATCCTGGCATCCTTCTGCACCTGGGCTGTCCTGGCTTTACCCAAGGAGTGAAGGTAGTCCTAAGAGAGAGAGACAGAGAGAGACAGAGAGAGACAGAGATGAGGAGACACAGAGACAGTCAACTATGAGATAGTTGGAGAAGTCAAAAGAAAGGTAGTGAATTAGGCAAACAAAAAACAAGAGATAATGTGGTTACCACTGAAGCACTTAGACCTAATTATTGTACAGAGTGGTTTGGGGGCTATCGAGTCAGAAACAATGAGTCAATATCAATCACCTAAGTGCATTACTGTAAGAGAAGAAATCATATGAGACTAAAAGCTTTCATATAAAAGAGACACAGGCTCACAGCAACGCTTCAGATTCTGGCTGCTACAGTAATTAGGTGTTTGATTTGGTGGTCTGATCATCAGATATTTGTCAATAGCACTGGTCGAAAATAACCCTGAACAGATATTAAGTACCTGATCATCATGAACATCTTTGAGCGTGTAGCTGACAACACCAATCCCCATGTTGACCAGGTCAGAGGAAGCCACCTTGAAGACCTGCTCAGAGAACTTCTTACGGTCCTGGTAGATCTCCTGCACACAGAGATATATTCATCATAGTTATTAGATACTTTATGGGGGCATTCACTTAGTGTGAAGGTTAGTGATGACTCATAAACATAAAGCCTCTTGGCTCTTATGGGCAAGAAAATGTCAAGCAAATCGATTTCACAATGTCAGTGCACCAACCTCCACGGTCAAATGGGCAATGATGGCTCTCTGGTGTCCCTCCAGTGTCTCTAGTGCAATCGTGGCAATCTCACCCTCAGACTTGCCCATAAACATTTGACAGGCGGTGGCCAACATCTCCTTGTTCTGGCCCTGAATCTTCACCTGGAAAAAAACAGGAAAAGAAAATGTGAAAAAGCGAGTAGCACGTATTTATAAATAGTTCTTGACAGGAAAAATCTGAAATTATCTGACTTTAAGTTTACAATTGAATAAGCTAAGACAAAAATAAAAAGCAGTTGCAGTCAGATTTTTATTTTTATTTTGAAACTTACTTTACAAATAACCAAATACCGACCAAATTCTTTCCCTATGGGAGCATCCTACTGACCCTGTTCAACCAACCCAGGACATTTTTCAAATGTCCCTTTCCTCTCCCTTACTTACCAACAGTAAATAACCTTCAAACTAAACTGAATATGCATGCATGCTGTGTGTTTATATATAGTACTAATGAATCTTTTGCTCTGGAGAAAAAGATTTATTTTCATTTGTTTGTTAGTTGTTAGTTTGTTTAAATACACACACTTGTTCCCATCCCAGCAAACAGAGAGCCCCAGGTACTGTATGAGCAACAGCCTGTTACTGAAGACAAGTGTTGCTTTAAAATAGCAGCTGACCCATTCCCTGCCATGGTGTCTTTGCAAAATGTAAAATATAATATAATAAAATACAAATATATAAGTTATATTAAAATAACTTTATCTTTGTGTGGAAACATGCATATTTGTGACCCCATGTAATAAACACCATATCAGTCATCCAATTCTTAAAGCCTACCTGTGCAATGCCAGTGACAGAGATAGGGACACCATGACGGGTGTAGACTTTGTCACTCTTCACATTTAGAGTCAGGGTGTTGAGTGTGATTCTGAAAAGGAATGACACAAAATATATGGGTTGAATGGATAACAACAAACGGCAAAAATGAAAAGGGCAAAGCAAAAGAGAGACAGCGGAAAATAAGTCGATTATCAGCCGCAAAGACCTCCGTGCAAATGACAAGTGGCCGGTAATGGATACAGCATTCAGAAACGATATGAATAATACATCTCTTCAATCAGCATTTATTTTCCTTGTTTGTTAACAAATGCATAAGGTCAGGCAGCCATGCTGTACTTAAAATAGAGAAAAGAGAAATGGAGACTGAAAACGGGATCATCACCTCTGGATCTTCTGAATACACGGGAGGACAAACACTCTTCCTCCAGCAATCATTAGAGGAGGAGAACGGCCAAAGCCTGGAGAGAAAGAGAACACATACCATAAACATTACACTACCATTCAGTAACATAGCTAGAGCTAGTTACTCATATAGTAACTGGCTCAAGGACATAGTTCAACGTGCAACCTTGTATTACAACAATATACAGCAATTTATTCATGACAGTTTGAGCGTACACACTACAGCAAGCTGGAAAATTCCAAGCTTACGCCAAACTGACCATAAGTGTTACTCAATGCAATCTTATCACAAGACATGTGATGATTAAATCACTCACATGACGCAAGTTTACTGGTCCACTACATTCAAAACCTGTATAAAACTCCTTTTATTTGTGGGTTATTACGACACAGACCATAACACTACAGTGACCTCCTGATAACTATATTATAGCATCACTGAGGCTGGAGCGTTTCCCTAACCAACAGGGAATATTCTGCTTTCATAACATCCTGTTTAACTGTGAGGAAGTATCATGCATCCATGAGATGTAGGCAAAATAAATGAAGCACATTTCTTACCAGATACCACCATGGCTTCATTGGGTCCACATGTGTAAAACATCTTGACTCCTGATTTGAGGCAAAAAATAATGAATGCAAGACGATTATTACAGAAAAGGACAATATCATGTTTTCTTGGATATCATTGGGGTGCATTTGGGTTGTAAAGAAACTAGTAAAATTGGAAAATCAATATATTACATATGAAACTAAGTAACTATGTTTATTTCTGTCTGTAGAGAATATCAATAACCGTTCGGTGTATACATATTATACGATATTAAAGAGACTAATACAAAGCTCATTGTTTGACCCAATAACACATAACTTTCTCTATTTGAAAAGTGTCCCGAGATAACTTTTGTTATAAAAATAAAAGTGAATTGAATAACTTGAAATATATATTTCATCACAGTAAACAAACACCTTTCTGGGGTTAGGATGAGCAACAAAATAAGACTTGACATTAACGTTCATTTGTTTATATATTTAAGGATCATACGATCAGTTTGGGTGTAAAGAGTTATGGTATATATATATATATATATAAATGTGTCTATGTCAATCATTTAATTTAAGACAAAACCCTTTAAATGTATCGTCCACATCCTGACTGCACCTCCCCCTCCTAACAACCCCCAGCATAAGGCAGTCGGGTCGGTAAGACTACAAGTTGTCCCCCTTGTACAATAAACACAACGAGCTATGTGGTGGTCAAACATTAATCAGAGCAGCAAAAAAAAACAACAAAACAACAACAACGATGAATTAACTGTAAAATCCCAAATAACGGTCCGCAACGAACAGCTAGCTTCCATGCTAACATTAGCGAGCTGATAAAAAGCAGCGGACTCGGGGTCTGTGTCGATAACGTCACTACGCCCGTTGGAAACACAGCGACTATATAACGCAGCTATCATCGTCAACTGCAAACAAACGATGTCACATCCAATCAACTCACCGATATCCGGTCAATACAAAAAGCAGTCCTTGTTTTGTTCTTTTGTTTTTTTTAGAATAAATCTGAGTCAGATTTCTGGTTGCTACGGTTAAGCTGTGAACGTTTTCCGTAAACTGGAATGACAAAAATGTCTGTTTGGGGAAGACGGGAAGTGAACACTGACCACGCCCATCGTCTCTGTCGCCATCTTGTGGTCGACGGTGAGAACTGCAGCTCCACTGTGGCTATGTCTGTTTGTTATCTATCTATCTATCTATCTATTTATCTATCTATCTATCTATCTATCTATCTATCTATCTATCTATCTATCTATCTATCTATCTATTTATTAATCTATTTATTTATCTATCTATCTATGAATCTATCTATCTATCTATCTATCTATCTATCTATCTATCTATCTATCTATTAATCTATTTATTTATCTATCTATCTATGAATCTATCTATCTATCTATCTATCTATCTATCTATCTATCTATCTATCTATCTATCTATCTATTAATCTATTTATTTATCTATCTATCTATCTGAAACAGACGTTTACATTGTGTAAAAAATTGTAAAATATGTATACACAGATTTGTTTTAAAAATAAGTAGTATTATTAAAGTAAATAGAGTAGACCTGTAGTTTAAACATTAAATATAAATATCATCTATCTATCTAACTGGAAAACAATTTACATAGAAAAAAAATGTAGGTATATTATGTAAAATATGTATATACAGATTAGTTTCAAAAAAGCTAAGTATAGGATTAGTAAATTAGTAGTATAGTAACTAAGTAAGTAGACTTAAAAAATACAAATACAAATAACTATATATTAAGTTCAATTCAAAGCGGCTTTATTGGCCTGGAGAACGGACGTTTACATTACTGACACAAGTTTAAAATATGTATATGTAGATTAGTAAAAAAGTAGCTAAGTATAGTTGTAGTAAGTAAGTACTTGTAACTAAGTACATAAGTAGACTTGTAGATAGAAAATACAATTAAGTGAGAATGAGAAACATCATCTATCTATCTATCTATCTATCTATCTATCTATCTATCTATCTATCTATCTATCTATCTATCTATCTATCTATCTATCTATCTATTTTTTTAATACACATATATGTTAATTTAATTATATAATTTAGCATTGAAGACATAGTTAGTGATGTTGTTGTACTGAACTGCTTTATATCCAGATTTAAATCTAATAATCTGCCCCCTCGTGTGTGTAAATGGAAAGGACAAAAAACTGGGAACACCAATGACCTTGATATCTTCGCATTGCCCAAAGCATTAGTGGCCAGCTGTCACATCAAAGTCTGTAGCCCTGCCTGAATCTATAGCCTTACATAATCATTTCTGCTGCTTTTCGTTCACTGAAAAACTCATTTGAAATGGAGGATACAGGACGTTGCAGACAGAGAACACACCACACAAAGCACATGATTACTGATTATTAGGTTTGTGTTGTGGCTTTGGAAGTGATTGCCCATAGATGACATTAATTGTCTAAGATGAACCTTCCACCATCACCACCAATCATCAGAACGACAGCAACATTTTACTGTAATAATCAACTAATCACTAATGTCAACAGTTACTTTTTAAAATATACAATCTATGGCTTCTCTACATGATTGATGAATGTACTGGCACAATGTCTAAAGTAAGGTGCATGTCAATGAGTGTTGTGTATTTAGATGTTACAGCAAGAATCTGCACAATTTTAATGGAGTATTGTGTTACAATTAGTCTATACTGAGCATTATATCAATCAAGAATATCAATATCAATATATATATATATATATATATATCAATAATATAAGGTAGAAAACAGCAACACAGATGTTAACATGATTTCTTCTCATGTGAGGCTTCTCCTTATTATTACTGTTATTGGTCAAATAAATGCAGTTAATTATACTTTTAGTTGAATTAATATTGAAAAATAATATCTAGAATTTTTAAACTGGACTAGACTCCAGCATCAGAGTTTAAATTCATATGTAATCCACTGTTAAAACTCTAATCTGATTATTTTATAGACATGGATGGCTTTGGATCTGCCCCTGTTTTTTCCTCAGTGTCTGATTGGAGCTGTGAACCGGGGCCTGGCAACCACCAGATTTATTTGCTACAGCTAGCTAAACTACTTCAATATTTTCATCCCATTTGCAGCCATAGATTTTGACAAAGTGGTTCACCGGCTCAATGCAAATAAGTTCACAGCCAAGGGTTTGATGATGATGTCATATTTTTTGAGTCATCAGAAGTCACTTGCAGTGTCACCGGTTACTTCTAGACCTCTTCCTAATGCTGCATCCTGCTGAGCTAACAGTGCTGTTGACACCACCATAGATCATTTAGGAGAAGATGGGCCTAAACAGGTCGGTCTCCACCCTGTGTGCCTGTTTAGGAGTAAGAAGAGATGTTATTGCTGCTTTGTACCAGAAGAGGGACTGGCTGGAGTATTCTAAGCAGCTTTTTGTCATTAGGATGTATTTCAGTCAATGTAAGAGCTGTGTGTCCTTGCATTTATTTACAACTAAGTGATTTCTCCTTTTAGTCAGATTATTAGGAAAGATCCTTTTTTTAATGTTTCCTTACAAAACTGTTCCTGGGGAGCATTTACCCTTAAACGTTTTCATTTTCACTATATGCACAACTACATTGTCACTTGGCAGTAATTGCCCCCTGCTATAAGCATAAGCCTCTGGATATTTGTTCAAGCACCGACACTGTGACAAAGTTTATAATAAGGCTGCGTCAGCTCACTTTTTTGGAGAATATCCCACACAAAACCCCAAAATAGAAAGCAACAGAACAAGCTGTTCTGACCTAAATTGTCATGAGATGGTTTTCTCAACTGCTGTTTCCAAGGCTAACAATTAACTTCAGTTTTTAAGCCAACATGGAGGAGAAGTCCTTGAGGTGCCCAGAAATAAATAAATAAAACGAAATGTGAACTTCTGCATTTCCATGACAACTGGTCAAACTCCATCTGCAGATGAAGATTTTATTCTTTTTATTTTATTTTATTTTATTCAGGCTTCTCTGAAATCATAAGGCGTACACTGTTTCACATAACACAACATTTATAGAAACATATACATCACACCAGACATTATGATGAAGCAGCTGCAGTGTAAAACTGTTTCTCTGCTTGCTTTCACATTCAGTGTTTAGACTACACAAGTAAACAGGTCTTGAAAAGAAATAACACATCAGCTTGATGCAATGCACCAGAGCACATTAATTAATCATCAAGATCATGTATTTTGATTTTTAAAAAGCTGGACCTTGTGTGGTGAGACTATTTGTTTCAGCATGTAACTGAAGATATTTCCAAATATTGCCAAAGCACCCAAAGGAGAGGGGCTTGAACTGACTGACCCCACCTTGTCTCAGACTTGAAACTGAAATTCCTGCCATCTTTCCTCTCTGCAGGGAGTGTTACAGTAAAGAAAGTGGTTTAAATCTGCTTATTAGTCATTCGCTTCTCATATCTGAACCCCAAAAAAAGCCGTAATTCATTTTACTGGGTGTTTCTAGACACCAGCTGGTAGAATTCTGGTCGATCTCTAGATCTAATTTCCCCTCCCCGATCTGCAGCAGCGCCCCTCCTCATCCCGGCTCTGTCGGTAGTCTCAGCCAATCACTGCGCGCAGAAGCCGAGTCTGGGTCTAACCACGCCCCCTCCCCGGCCCCAGCCTCGTTCTGGAAACGCTCCAACATTATAAATGCATTGTCTGGCACTTTAAAACTAGTCTGCGGTCGGCTCGTAGTTCCAAGAAAGAAGAGGTTTCTGCTCGTCGTTGTAAAACTTTCGCATCCACAATGAGGGAAATCGTGCACATCCAGGCCGGCCAGTGCGGTAACCAGATTGGTGCCAAGGTAAGAAAATATAATTATTGAGATTTAATTAATTACTGTACAAAATGATATCTTCCTCTCACTGTTGAAAACGCCCAATGGCTTATTAGTTGTATTTTCTTAATATCTTTATGTAGCTGATTGTTTGATTATGTATCAAGACAAAGGACTTCTTTTGTCTCATTGTGCATAAATAAAACAAATCCCTTTCATTTATACTGTACCTTTGTACATTTAAACACATCATAAATCATAAAATATCACCCATAAATAGTAAAAACCCACTGTTGGTGTGTATTTTTGTTGTTTTTCTGTCTGAATCTTATGCACTGCGGTAACTGGTGGGTGGGTGTGGAGCAGCGGACCGTGCTTGCTCTCATCGAAATAACGGTATAACGGGGCTCTTGTGTCTCGACGGGTTTTTGTTCACACAACACCGGGCGTGTCTGCGTCTCAGCAGTGAGGATTCAGCTGACCTCAAGACATTGTCTGAGGAAAAGAAAGGAGGAGAAGAAGAAAAAAAAATCTGTCTATTCTTCACTTGTCAGAGCCCTTCAGTCAGTGTACTCTGGGTTCTTTGTCTTGCACAGGCAGATATGGCTGGTATTTCAGACAATGAGTGAGAGCTTGGATGGGAGGCCTAGTTTTTTTCTTCTTCCCCCAAATGACATATAAATCAATAGTCCATATTGATCAGATTGTTATTTCTGCAGGCTGTAGATGCAGACTGCTGTTTCAGCTGGTGAGAAAGCAGAGGAGCCTGGGAAAGGGTGTGGCATGGATAATTGGGGAAGAAAGAATTGCTCCTTTTAGAAATACTGATAATGTGTCTTTTTTCTGACAGACATCATCAGTGCTTTTAGCAATGAAATACACTCATATACTTGCTTTTGCATTTCTGTACAATTTAAATGCATTCGACACTATAGTCTACTTAACAGGGTCCTGCAGTCTGCAAGTACAATACATCACCACCCAGACTTACAGTAACAATTGCAGTCTGCTACCGTTCATGCCTTCTTGGCCCATTATTATCCCATCTCATTACCTCCTTTTTGTTTTACAACTGATCATTTGTTACAGACGGCATATGTTTAAGTGGGACCTCTCAAACACACACACACACACACACACACAGGAATCTTGCCCTGGCATTGAGATCCAGTCTGGAGACCACATTAACAATGGCCCATATATTGTAGGATACATCATTATCACAGGGATGCTCTACTGACAGGGATTTTAATGTCCAGCAAAGCAGGGGGCTGTCTTTGTAATCAATGCCTCCCCTCT